TTGAGATTCAATCAATTTTTTTTGTCTTTGAAATATTTCTAGCTGTTAATTACTGTAATTTATAGTACTTTTTAAGAAATTTTTAAATAATATATATTATTTCATTTGTCCCAACTTATGTGTCACCTCTGAAGAGTCAATAAGATCTTTTATATTTTTATATCTTTCAAATATTTAAGTAATTAATTATCGTGATTTATAATTATTTTATACAATTATTTAGTATAGTAAAATAAATTTAAAAGAAACGGCATCATAGGAAATTACCAAAGCATCCTTCAATTACATCAATTAATGGGTCCCACTTTTTGTTTTTAAGAAATTGCACATTCGAAGGATATTTTTGTCCAAAGTGGAAATATTGTGTAAAAAATGTGTATTTATTGTGATTTTGAATGTTTTGTGGGTAATACGACGCATGCAAAGTTAAGGTGTCTTTTTGAAAATCTAGGACAACTTCAAGTATCACTTAATGTTTTTTCTCAAAATCTAATTTACTTTCGTAAACTATGTGTAAGATCAAAATCAGATTAACAAATTCAAAAGGAATGAGTAATAAATAGCTCATACAACTAAATAATAAATATGTAACTAAAAATCTTGTTAGCTTTTGGTTGAAAGCTAACAAGATAGTTACAATGTAACTAAATACTATAAAAATCTTTGCATTGTAGCTGTGTCAGATCAAAATCAGATTAACAAATTCAAAAGGAATGAGTAATAAATAGCTCATACAACTAAATAATAAATATGTAACTAAAAATCTTGTTAGCTTTTGGTTGAAAGCTAACAAGATAGTTACAATGTAACTAAATACTATAAAAATCTTTGCATTGTAGCTGTGTCAGATCAAAATCAGATTAACAAATTCAAAAGGAATGAGTAATAAATAACTCATACAATGACATATATTTATCCTTAACGCCTTGGACTAATGATTCACATTCAGTCTAATCAAAGCATAAATTTTATGTTTAATTTTAAGAAAAGATTACATAAATACATATCTTATTTTAGCATAATCTCTAAATTTTTCTATTATTTAAAAAAATTACAAAAATCCCCTTTCTGACACATCCATATCCCCTCTCAGATACATCCCTATCCCCTCTCAGATACATCTCTCCCCTCTCGGATACATCCCTCCCCTCTCGGATACATCTTATCCCCTCTCGAATACAACCCTCCCATTAAGTAATATATCATTCGCAATTCGTGAGCCATGTATCCGCAAGTTTCATATATCCAAGATCCTATAAATTTAAGGATTTTGTAATTTGGAAAAAAGTAGTGATGTAATTAATTCTTACACTATGAGATTTATGTAATTTCTACTAATTTTAATGCTAGTGGTCTAATTTGTAATAGTATGGGATAGAGTTGAGATATGTTAATGGTACGGTTCGAACAATTATTTTTTAAGACTTATATTGTACTAACTTTTTGATTAATTTATTTTGTAAATTTAAAATTAGACTTTTCGTAATTGTCCTATTATATCAACTTCTCTTCAGCGTCAGTATGACTTGATTAATTTTTAGTAAATTTTTATAAACGTCATGTATGAGTCATACATAGAAGTTGGAGCGTGATATTATGTAATATGTATATATATATTTCCTAAAAATAGGAGTCAATCCTAGACAAAGAAGCACTTAACAACATAGTCATTTGATCTGCATTCAAACAAATACATTTCTCCTCCTCTTTAGCCATGACCAGAAAGAAAATAAAAGGATTGGCTAAAAGCCAAAGCAGCAAAGTGCTGCAACCTGCAACAAAAAAAAGAGGAAAAAGAGGGATTAGGGTTAAATCATCAAATTTGTGGACAAACAGGAAGTCCAAATGGCTAGGTATTCTAATCTTAGCATGAAATAACACGTACAAAGAGGTTAACACGAAATTGTTATGAATGTGATTATAGATTGACCAAAGAAATTCGTACGAATTACTAAAGTGACGAGGTTGGTATTTTGGCATGAGTACTATAAGTAGTAATCTTACCACAAATTCTATTTTATAACTTTCATGATTTATACAAGGTTTATAAAGTGAATGATTTACTTAATGTTTTGAATTTTCATATCGGA